CTAAATTGTATATTTCACATTTAATTTGGATATAAAATTGCACATAATTTGGAATTGCACTATGCTTGTAACCAAACAGGGTTATACTATATATATATATAATTTATATATACGCACACAACCGCTATTGCTATACATCCACCTTCTTCATCGATGACGGCGCCCAATCCCCATGCTCTACCCCTTTTAGTGCTTGAAACAAAAGATTCTCAATGGCTCCGGTTTAGATGGGGGGATCAGATCAGATCCTCTGTGGGCACGAGTGCGGTTCTATTAGCTCGTTATAACTTCTCTCGCTAGAGGCGCTGATGGCTCTACTGCCGAGCATGAGAAGGTCGACTAGGTGTCTAACTGGCTCCGAACGAAACCCCCGGCAGGGGGAGGATGTCACCAAAATGTGCCTTATGTGTTCCAACAGTAGCTTCGTACAATCTCTCAATGGAAATGACGAATCAACAAACACATCAAAAAGTCTCTTTTTCTTTGTATTTTTTTATATAGAAAGAATACACAGTGTGATGATCAATTTCCCATCCTAGTTCTTCCATTGATCACTTTGATTGCTGATTTCGATCTCCAAATTTCCCACTTTGATACGTTGTGAAACGTGGGTCTCCGGCAATAAAATTAAGATTTCTCCACCAGAATCTCAGGCAACGAGTATGATTGGAGCGTCATTCGAGGTGAGTGCGAAGACGCTGATGTGATTAGACCTGTCAACAGATCGGATTCGGACCGGATCATAGTCAATCTGATCCGAATCAGATAAGCATAATGAGTGATCCGATCCGGTCTGATAATCAGACGAATTTTTACTGAGTCAATACGTATCCAATTTGTTTAATTATCAAATGCCCAATCCGATTATGATACAAAAATACAAGAGAAATATGATACCAGGGGGTTCGATCGAGAAAAAGAAAATACAAGAAAAAAATAAAAATAAAAAAAATTAAAAAAAAATAAGAGAAAAAGAAAATACAAAAGAAATATGATACCAGAGGGTTCAATCGAGAAAAAGAAAATACAAGAAAAAAGAGAAAAAAAAAAAAAAAAAAAAAATACAAGAGAAATATGATACCAGGGGGGTTCGATAGAGAAAGAGAAAAAAGAGAAAAAAAAATAAAGAAAGAAAAAAAAAAGGGAAAAAGAAAATAAAAGAGAAATATGATATCAGAGGGTTCGATCGAGCATATATCTCTTTCTACTCACTTAGTCACTTGGTTACTCGATCTCCCTCTATCGTCGCTTCGCTGAATCTCTTGCTCTCTTCGCTTCACTCTTTTTTTTCTCTTCGCTTCGCTTCATTCTTGATTCTTGAAAGAAGTCTCCAGATCTATTGGCTGTATAATCAAACTATGGGTAATGTACTAAGGGAGTAATAGGTCTGAGACATTATTTGAAAGGTGCTAATATGTTGCCTACTACATTATATGATTATGTAACCTATTGATCTAACGGTACATAATCAATAATAAATAATCCAATGGTATATAATTAATACATATATAAATATATTAATATTATATATAAAAACAGATTATTATTGGATCGAATCGGTAAAATTCATATCCGATTTGTTAAGTTAACGGGTAATCGGATTCAGATCATAAACGGGTTACCGGATTTTTTGTTCAATCCATATCCGGATAATCGGATCGGATTTGGATTAGAATCTAAATCCATTGGCAGGTCTAGATGTGATGTTTCGTAGGGGAGCACGATTTCGGCGACGAAGGAGGAGTTGGTGGCGAAGACTAATTCAACGATTGTGAGTTCGTTCAAGAAGATTTCGCTCTTAATTCTTCCACCCCTCTACTCTCCCTATTTTTCTATCTCCCTTTCTCTGCACAATTCTCTATCTGGTATGGTAAAGCACTGTGTTCTCAGCCAAAAGAGAAAATAAATATTATGAGGCGTTGTTCTTGGCAGTGGGGTGGACAAATCAGAGAACAACACTTGGAATGTGAGAACATATTATCGGTGTGGCTGTATTAATTACCGGCAGGAACATGGTGGACACCGACGAAAAGCGAGGACATAACTGCAAGTACTAAACGGTGGTCAACAAAAAATCCGGCAGTGGCAAGTAAGGAACGGAACTGAAGCACGATGGTGGGTGCAACGCATAGCGAGACACAACGTTGTGGTGATATGATGACTAAGCAACTGGATACACTCTCATATGATATTAAAATCCGGCAGTGGCAAGTAAGGAACGGAACTGAAGCACGATGGTGGGTGCAACGCATAGCGAGACACAACGTTGTGGTGATATGATGACTAAGCAACTGGATACACTCTCATATGATATTAAAATTAGGGAAAAGAACAATTTGATTGAATGTTTGATTCAAGAGATAAGGTAACTTTGGTGGGAGTTTGGTGTTTGGTTAAGCTTATATGGGATAACAACAAAAAGGGCAAATTAGTCATGCCACTCATTTATTTGGCTTTGTCAGCCGACAATGTCTGATAGGGGGTCTAATTGAATTTTTTTCAAATATGGGGGCTCTTCTTGAAGTATCGACAAACCACAGGGGGTGTAAATGAATTAAACCCTTATTATTTTTACCTCTCCAAACCAGCTTTAGTGACATTGAGTCAAGCTCTTATATTATAATACTATATTTATATTACATTTTATGGAGTACAAGAAAATGAGAAAATTATTATTTCATAAAATTTGGTAAATAAATCTATCAATATATATATATATATATATATATATATATATATATATATATGTTAGGGGAGTTAATAAGCCACCAAATCTTAGCGGGGGGTCAAAATAATAAACTTTGAACAATTTATTTGTATACAATTTGTTGAAATTTTAAGAAATGATGGTATAATTTACCCCAATATATATATATATATATATATATATATTTATTTATTTATTTATTTGTAAATGTCCGGCACTTCTACAAACTCAAATCTTGAGTGATATAATGATTTTTTTTTTTTTTTTTATGCCAAACTAGGAGGGGTGGGACACGGGTAAATTTACTCAGAGAATTGGACACTCTACCGACTAGTCCACTGAATAATACCCGAGTAATATAATGATCCATTGAGCTCGATTTTGGGCCTACTACTGATGTCACACGTCCTGGACCCCTGATATTGTCTACCCCAACCCATTTCACTTCGACAATCAACTCAATCTTGGTTGGGCCCAGTTCAGGTGTCCAGAACTACTTGAATGCCATATGCAGATTCTGATATTGGACCAGTGCTGCTAGGCCCATAATTCGTAACCATTCAAAAAAGAAAATTACCATTAACCTTCACATACCAATGAAATATCACATTTGTCTCCCATGAAATTATTAAAAAAAAAAAAAGTCAGTATTGCTTCCCTTCTTTGAGTTTCTGAGTCCGGCCTGTATATAGATATAAAAATTATATATAACATTATACACGTACGTATGTATAAATGTATATGTAAAGTAGGAGGGCGGTGATATTAAGAAAAAGATTGAGAAGTTGGCAAAGACAGCATTTGCATGTGATGGGTAACGTTTTCGAGTTGTAAAGGAATTGGGAGACAATTAGACATGAAGCTTCGCACTTCGCAGCGAACATGAAAATTGAAGTGCCAAAATGGTGCGATTGTGAGCAACAATTGGCTGTCAAACCCACGTTCTCATTAACAAATTTCTTCTAATGTAATGCACATTCTGTACTCATTTTGTCAGAGAGTCAACTTCAAAGTTCACTCCACCATTTTTAATTTATACATATACACAAGTGTGTGTATTTGTATTGACATCATGTGGAGTTCAAGTATTATTCACGCATTATAGCCATGTTCAAGAGTCCGAATATAGAGCTGTAACCTTTTGTACTACCTTTCTAATGAGGTGTCAGCTGTTCACTTCTGAGAAAAATCCATACTTTCTAATTACAACAACTAAACTTTTCTCCTAACTATTTGGACTCACTACGTAAATATTGTGTTTCAATTTGGCTTAGGCAATTCATCTGTCTTCCTCTTTTTCTTTATACCACCTTTTAATTTATTCATGACTATATAATTAAAACTACATAGAGTGAAACAAATATTCAAAATGAAGGCAACCACATATCTAGACTTGGTGACCATCGATCGAATCGGATCATATACACTAATATTATATATCTAGACTTCTGAGAAAAATCTAATACTTTCTAGTTACGACAACTAAACATTTCTCTCAACTATTTGGACTCACTACATAAATATTATGTTTCAATTTGTCTTAGGCAATTCATCTATCTTCCTCTTTTTCTTTATACCACCTTTTAATTTATGTACGATTATATAATCAAAACTACATAGAATGAAACAAATATTCAAAATGAAGTCAACCACATATCCAGATTTGGGTGACCATTGATCGGATCGGATCAGATCGGATCATATCTATTAATATTATATATATATATTTATTCTCTTATGCACTCTATATATATATTTTTTTCCCGATTACTTTATATTTATTGTGTATCTCTTTCAAATTTAACTTTAATCATAAAATATCAAATCAGAATACATGCAATTATAAAAAAAATTAAGTGAATTATGTAATTAGGGTTCTAATTGATGAGAAAGAAGCCATTCATTTATGGTAAAAAATTGTAATTTTTAATTTTAATTATTGAACGACTAAATAGAAGGTGGTTCTTATTCTCGTAAAAGAGATTGAAGATATATAGTGGCAAAATTGAATTAAAATTATTAAGTTATATAATTTTTAGTCCAGTTTGGATGTTATAATAATAAATTTTGTTATTTTCTCTCTTTTTTCTATATTAATATTTTTTTCTATATATATATATAAAATAATAATAATAATAAAAATAAAAAACTTGTCAACTCACCACACTGATGTAGTCCAACACAAATGAATTTGAATTTCAATTCTTTCTAAGTTGAAATCCAAATTTCGAAAGGATGCGTGGTTCCAAACAAAGCGTTAACATGTCATTATAAAAGACAAAGTCCCCAACTATTCGTAGCTGTGCTCATTGACCTGTTGTAAATCCTTGAAAGTCCAATTTGGTTCTTCCTCTCTCAAAAAAAAAAAAAAAATGGCAGGAGGTTCGGTGACACCGACGCCGGTGTTGAAGGATGAGCTCGACATCGTCATTCCCACCATAAGAAACCTCGATTTCTTGGAGATGTGGAGGCCATTCTTCGAACAATACCATCTGATCATCGTCCAAGACGGCGATCCAACGAAGGTCATCAAGGTCCCCGAGGGATTCGATTACGAGCTCTACAATCGGAATGACATCAACCGGATTCTGGGTCCCAAGTCCTCTTGCATTTCATTCAAGGACTCTGCTTGTCGATGCTTCGGTTACATGGTGTCCAAGAAGAAGTATATCTTTACCATCGACGACGATTGCTTTGTAAGGACCTCTTTTTGCCTCTGTTTCTTTTGTTGAAATTCCCTTTTTGTTTCCAGTATTGGAGGGCTTTGGATCTTGCTTTGTTCTGGGTTTTGATGGGTTTAGATAGTGGAAGTTTGGTTGCTTTGTAAAGTACCTCTTTTTGCTTAGTTTCTTTTGTTGAATTGATTTTGTGTATTTACCCTTTTTTGTTTTGGGGGGCTTTGGATCTTACTTTGGTTTGGATTTTGGTTGGTCTCTCAATTGGTGGTGAAATTTTGGGGTTTTGATGGGGTTTAGATTTGTGGAAGTTTGGTTGCTTTGTAAGTACCTCTTTTTTGCTTTGTTTCTTTTGTTGAATTGATTTTGTGGGTACCGTTTTTGTTTCCAATGCTGGGGGCTTTGGATCTTACTTTGTTTTGGGTTTTGGTTGGTTTCTGAATTGGTGGTGAGATTTGGGGTTTTGATGGGGTTTAGATAGTGGAAGATTGGATTTTGATTCGAATTTGTAGATGGGCATTGCAAGTATCTTTTTTGGGGGATTTTCATTCATGGATGTTTTTAGGGGATAGGCCGAAAGTTTGAATTTTCATTTGAATCTGTTGCTGGGTAATGGGAATTTCAGATTTTGAAGTTTGTTTTTATGGGTAAAGGAAAGTTTCAGATTTTTTTATGGGATATTTGTTGCTGGGTGGTGGGAAGCTTATTATAAGTCATGGGAATTTTAAATTTTGAATTTCTTGTTGGGTAATGTGAATTTGTTGATTACTGTGGCAAAGTTTGGAATTTTGAAATTTAGTTCATAATGTGAATCTTTTGAGTGTGTCCTTGGCGCAATGGTATGGGTTGCTCCATTGTGACCTGGAGGCGGTTTTAAAACCAGAAACACCCTCTGTAAGAGGAGGTAAGCTTGTATATGTTTGACCCTCTCCAAACCCTACAATGGAGGGAGCCTCGTGCACTAGGCTAACCCTTTATTTGGTAGCTAACCTGTGGTCCTTATTATTTAAATTCAGGAAGCTTCAACTTTTCTGTTTCTTCTGTGTTGGTGATGCACAGGTTGCTAAAGACCCATCTGGCAAAGAGATCAATGCACTTGAGCAGCACATAAAGAACCTCTTAAGTCCATCTGCTCCATTTTTCTTCAACACTCTTTATGATCCATACAGAGATGGTGCTGACTTTGTCCGTGGATACCCTTTCAGTCTCCGTGAGGGTGCACCCACAGCTGTTTCTCATGGCCTGTGGCTCAACATCCCTGATTATGATGCTCCAACCCAGCTTGTTAAGCCTCGTGAGAGAAACACGAGGTACATATATCTTTTATCTGGAAAATAAAGGAATGTCGACTTTATTTGACATGATTGCCAATAACCTTACATCTTATTATTAATTTTTTCATTTTTTCATTTTTTTTCAGATATGTAGATGCAGTTATGACAATACCTAAGGGTACCCTGTTCCCCATGTGTGGTATGAATTTGGCATTCAATCGCGAACTGATCGGACCTGCAATGTACTTTGGACTCATGGGTGATGGTCAGCCAATTGGACGCTACGATGACATGTGGGCTGGCTGGTGCACCAAGGTAGTTTTTGCAATTTGTTGCATTTTATTTATAGTGTGTTGTTTATATGTTACAGAAAACGAAAAGGAGCTATTATCATTTCTCTGGAACAACTAGACACCTACTCAATAAGTGTAAATGTTTTCTCTTTTTAATGATTAATAATGTCTTGTTAGGAATCTAACAAACGTGTGTTCGTGAACTTGTAGGTGATATGTGACCATTTGGGATTGGGAATCAAGACTGGTCTGCCCTACATATGGCACAGCAAAGCCAGCAACCCTTTTGTTAACCTCAAAAAGGAGTACAAAGGTATCTACTGGCAAGAAGAGCTGATCCCATTCTTTCAATCGGCAACTCTTTCCAAGGAATGCACTACGGTTCAAAAATGCTACCTTGAACTCTCTAACCAAGTCAGGGCTAAACTTGCCAAGGTCGATCCCTACTTCGTGAAGTTAGCAGATGCCATGGTCACTTGGATCGAAGCGTGGGATGAGCTCAATCCTTCTGGTTGAAAAACTCTGCATGGCAATCTAGCGGCATTGCAATAGTAGACTCTTGCCTAGCAATTACTTTCCTTCCATTTTATGATGTTTTAACATTTCAAATCAGCAATTTTCAAATGTTATAGTCTTAATTTATCACCCCGAGGATTTATTAATGTTTTACTAGAGAAAGGAAAGATTTGGAGGAATTTGAGAGCATACTCGTTATGCGTATCAGCGAATGCAATCTTTTCCACTCTTATATCTGTGCATCTCTCTCTCTCTCTCTCTCTCTCTCTCTCATTACATTGAAGTAAGTTTGAAATCTCTTCTTTAGTTCCTAATGTATGTGTTGATGATTATCTCATTACATTGAAGTAATGTTTTGGAACTAGTTTTTGCCTTGTGCATCAGAATGCAGGTGGTTGATTGATCTAGAATCACTCGAATGGGATCTATCTATTAGAAATATAAATACTTTTAGGCTATTTTCGGCTGCATGGAATTGAATTAACTTTGCAAAATTGAACTAAATTTTTTTTTTTTTCAATTCCAAAACTTCAATTCGATGTAACCGAATGCAGCCTTAGTTGCAATACATGAGACACCAGCATCTGGTATCAGAAGAACAGAGAGAATCAGGATTTTTCCGATTTCAGTATACAAATTCAAAATTTATGTTAAGCCTTAAAGTCTAAAGAGGTATTTATATATATAGCGTTGCTCCATCTATTCAGATAGTAAATTAAATCTTGGAAAAGAAATGTGTGGAATCCATGTTCAATGTTGAATAGAATAACTAATTTGAATTCTCGTGGAAACGAAAGGAAAACCATATTTTTCCAGCTAAAAAAGAATTGAAAAGAAATAAGAATACATGATTTGCGTAAACATTCAGTAATGTCAGATTTCACGAGAAACACTAGTTGTCATGACTTGGGGCATACCTTTGAAATAATGCAGATTGCCAAGCTTGGTTCCTGTAGATAGTTCCCACATGTTCACAAGTCCATCACATGTTCCAATGATTCCGTGACCAGCTGATGCACGACTTCACAAGTCAATGCCGTGTCCACAAATGAAGAATCACAATGACAAATTGATGCGAACCGCTCTCTAGGCACTTTTAATTAAGTTAACAATCACTGTGTGAAACTGCATTTCTGTGCTAGCTTGCAAGAAGCAATGGAAACACAAGTTAGAAGTGTTGTCGTGATATTGTTCATATTTGCTCTTGTTTTCGTAGGGCTCGGAGTTGGTGTTGGGTTGCAAATCAATAGAGATGATCATCAATCAAATGTAAGCTGCACAGAGGGTGAACTTAAAGCTCTTCTCAAGTTGAGGGAATCTCTCATTGATCATTCAAATCGTTTGTCATCGTGGGTTGGAGAATACTGTTGTACGTGGACGGGAGTGGGTTGCAGCAAGAGGACACGCAGAGTCGTGATGTTTGATCTACCCGGTTATGATAGAGGCAGCTTGCAAGGTGAGATAAGTCCTTCTATTCTCAATCTGAGGCATTTGCATTACATCGACTTGAGCAATAGTAACTTTTCAGGAACCCAAATTCCAGAATTCCTAGGCTCCCTTAAGAACCTGAGATATCTTGACCTCTCCAATTCGGGTTTTGAGAGGGAAATTCCCCCTCATTTTGGAAACCTCTCCAACTTGCAACATCTCAATCTTGGCTTCAACTATTTACAAGGTCCAATTCCTGATACTCTTGGAAGGCTGTCATCTCTCATTTTTCTTGATCTTGGTAACAGTAGATGCTCCCCAATTATGCCTAGTTGGTTGTGTAAAAATGAGCAGCCTTGTTCATTTGGGACTCTCTGTTGTAAGTTACGGAGGTCCAATTCTTCCTTGCCTTGGGAACTTGACTTCTCTCGCAGTTTAGTGGTTTTCTGCCAAATCAATTGGGAGAGTTTAAGATGCTAGAGGAGTTATATATCTTTGAGAATTTATTTAGTGGTCCAATCCCAGCATCACTTGGAAGATTCTCATCATTAAGTTGGCTATATGCATCTGATAATCAGTTGAATGGGAGCATTCCTTCGAGTCTTGGACAACTTTCAAGGCTAGAGGGGTTAGATGTCTCTAACAATCAGTTGAATGGGAGCATTCCTTCGAGTCTTGGACAACTTTCAAGGCTACTGTGGTTAGATGTCTGTAACAATTCTTTGGATGGTGTCATATCTGAACTTCACTTTGCCAAACTCACAAGGTTAGTATGGTTGGGCATGTCCTCAAACTTGTTCATTATGAATGTGAGCATCCAATGGGTTCCTCTTTTTCAACTCCAATTTATTCATGTCTTCCTGCAAATTGGGACCCCAATTTCCTCCATGGCTTCAAACACAAAAACATGTTGAAGATTTGGTAATTTCCAATGCAAGCATCTCAGATACCATCCCTGACTGGTTTGAGGATTTGTATTCTCGTAACAATGGCTTAGATATATCTCACAACCAGATTTGTGGAAAGCTGCCCAAGTTTCAAGAATCTAATGCTACCCTTGAGTGGTATCTATATTTGAATTCCAACAAGTTTGAGGGCCCCTTAACACCATTTCTGTCAGATGTCACGGAATTTGATTTGTCTGACAACTTACTTTCAGGACATTTTCCTCTCGGTGATGATAATATTTATATGAATTTCAGAGTTCTTTTTATCTCAAATAATAGTTTGACCGGTGATATTCCAAAGTATATATGCAAGATGATGGCTTTGCAAATACTTGATCTCTCAACAAATAAATTATCAGGAGCACTCCCTTGGTGCATGGGGGACTTGGATCTACTGGGAGTCGTTGATCTGACAAATAACAATCTTCATGGTCATATTCCAAGTTCTTTGGGTTCTCTACAAAATCTTTATTCTTTACATTTGAGCCACAACATGATTCACGGGAAGATCCCTTCGTTTTTGCAGAATTTGACATCTCTGAGCATTCTCGATCTTGGTGATAATGAATTAACTGATATTATCTCTTCATGGATTGGAGAAATGTCTAGCCTACGATTTCTCATTCTTCAATCGAATAAGTTCTATGGTTATATTTCTCCACAGCTCTGCCAACTCTCTGCTCTTCAAGTGTTGGACCTGTCGCATAACTGGAAGTATTCCTCCCTGCTTCACCAACTTCACTGCCATGGTTGCGAATCTCAATGCGGAACATATAAAGAAGTGGTATCCACAATACACAGAGAGCATTTTAAATTACATTAAAGGAGTTGAACTTGAATACACTAGCACACTCCCATTTCTCACATCTATAGATGTTTCAAACAATCAGATAGTTGGAGAGATTCCTAAGAGTTGATGGATCTTACTGGGTTGCGGAGTTTCAACGCATCCAAAAATAATCTAAATGGAAGGATCTCGAAGAAGATTGGAAATGTGAAAGCTTTGGAATCACTTGATTTGTCAAGAAACAAACTTTCTGGTTCAATCCCTCAACTTTGAACTTCTTAAGTTACTTGAAACCATCATTCAACAACTTGTCAGGTCCAATACCAACATGAAATCAACTCCAAACACTCAATGGTCCATCATCCATCTATATGGGCAACAATCAACTTTGTGGACCACAAATCTTCAAGAGCTGCCCTGGTGATACTTCGTCTTATGGTCATCATCATGATCAACATGCTCCTGAGTCGGAAGAACGTCTGGCATTCTATGCTGGCATTGGACCTGGTTTCTTGGTTGGCTTCTTGGGTATTTGTGGCATTTTGCATTTCAAAAGGCCTTGGAGGTATGCGTGGTTTCAATTTGTGGAGAATACTTAGCAAAAACCTACTGGCGGCAGTTGCAGTGAAGGCAGCTTGGGTGCAGAGAAAGTTCCACAAAGATGAAATGTGAGGATAATTTCCTCTCTAAAATGGTTAGTCTCTCTCTATCTCTCTCCAAACACATATACAGACACACACCCATACGCATATATGTATATATGTATCACATGAATACAAGCACATATCTAGTTTAAACTATAGCCAATGCACTATATATTTAAGCTCCTATGAATGACTAATTTGGGTACTTGATTTTGTTTCTTTGGTTTTTGTCTATATGAAACTTTTGAGATATTCTCTTATTGCAATTTCGAAATGGAAATTTATTATAGCAGTATTCTTAACCATAGTGCTTGGCCTATGCATGGTTTTCTCAATTACAATCAGAGCATCGAGAATACATAACCAATTACCATTCATTCTTAGCAAAATGTGGTAATAACAATTAATTTAATTATTTCTTCTTTATGTCAGTTTTAATGTTCACAATCTTACTGTGAAATGAAGCTACCCAATGAAGTAGTATATATGAACTAAAAGACATCAAATGTGTTTTCTTTAGTCATAAGGAAGGATCATTTAGATGACCTTAATAAATTAACTTTACTGCATTTTAATGTACATAAAAAAAACCATGATTACATCTACTTACATCTTCATCACAACCTTCATAGGGGCTCAAATTCATTTTTTTTCCTTTCCTTTTTTTGCCACAGGGTTTTACATTCAGTTGAAGCAGAGGAGATTCAGGTTGAAGCAGAGGAGATTCAGTTAGACAAGGATCACTACTACAATAAAATTCAGAAAAATAAAGTTAGACAATGATATTATATATTTTTGATAATTTGTTATAATGTTAGTGTGAAAATTGTGTGCCTCTCCTAAAACATATATTGCCTAGATTCAATATCTATATTCGCGAATTATTAGACTCTGTTATTTCATGTGCTCAAAATTTGATCAGCAACAGTGAATAGAATTCTCAAACTTGAGACAGACCTATATTCAAGAAAATTTTCATCCTTGATAAAAATTTCATCATCAGCATCAGTAAGCCTCTAGTACATTCGTAGCCCTATGAGATAGGGCAAACCACCTTGATGACGATGGTTCACTGTAAAAAGCTAATCTACTTACATTGAACGTGATGTTAGGTGGATTATTTAACTGGAACCACATAGAAGAAAAATAAGGTGGACATTTACAAATTTCTCACCAAGACGTAAAAATTAACCTCCTAGGTATTGCATTGCCTGCAAATTTATACATGAAGGAAAAAGAACATCATGTTAGAGAGAGTAACTCTTTCGCTTATTTCCCGGTTAATTTGAAAAGGCCCCCTGGGCGTGCAAATAAACAAGCAACTGGCTACCACAAGCTACAGCCAAAGCGCCCGACCTTGAATCATCAGTTGCAATACATGAGACACCAGCATCTGGTATCAGAAGAATAGAGAGAAAATCAGGATTTTTCCGATTTCAGTATACAAATTCAAAATTTATGTTAAGCCTTCAAGTCTAAAGAGGTATATATATATATATATATATAGCATTGCTCCATCTATTCAGATACCATATTAAATCTTGGAAAAGAAGGGTGGTTGATTCTGTAGGATGAAGTGTGCATCACTATCAATGCGTCATTAAGCTTCCTACAGCTCCAGGCAAAATCTTACCGGATCATATTGTTGGTAAGGTTTTCTCATATGTACAGCAGCACGATATAAAGAAAACTTCCATAACATTCCCCGAACCATTTCCATCAAAACAGCAACAGGTACAAACAGATACAAGTACAAATTGCATTTAACTCATTTTAAAGTAATACTATAATGTAATTGAATTATTGGATATGCTTTTTAAGTACATGTCCACCAAGTATCGGACACATATCCCATACTCATGTCTAAGGGATGTGTGTCCGACACGGGTACTTCACTACTTTTGAAGAGTCCATGTAACAAAAGGTGGTACTAGGCTACTAGCAGCTATTTCAATAAACACTAAAATGTGGAGGCTTAACTTAAAGTAGCCTAAATCACAATGTTTGGTGGATAATGGAAGGATTCTACATTCCAAATGGAGCCTTAGAAATGATATGGTATAAATGTGTGGAATCCATGTTCAATTTTGAATAGAATAACTAATTTGAAATCTCATGGAAACGAAAGGAAAACCATATTTTTCCAGCTAAAAATGAATTGAAAAGAAATGAGAATACATGATTTGCATAAACATTCAGTAATGTCAGATTTCACGAAACTATTTAAAAAGAAACACTACTTGTCATGACTTGGGGCATACCTTTGAAATAATGCAGATTGCCAAGCTTGGTTCCTGTAGATAGTTCCCACATGTACACAAGTCCATCACATGTTCCAATGATTCCGTGACCAGCTGATGCACCAATGGCAGCAGCCCTGCACAGTGAATTTTATGTTTTAAACTTCTTTGACATTAATTAGAAAGGTCTCATCTGCATCTCAGATGCAATCAACCATTCTGGACTAGGTCACAACATTTCTTGCTCATCAAGGCATTAACTACATGCTGCAATCTCACTATCTGTTCATAATCTATATTTCTTATCCTAATGGCCTCTAAAATGCAGGTACTTGTGCTACTATCTTATTACTCCAATAGTTGGTCTTGCATTAGCAGAGAACAAATCCATGGTTACTAAGCTGCTGTTCATGCGGCAATAGAATGTCCCACACAAACCAAAATATTCCCATCCATTTTCTTAGCATTAAAAGATACAGAGACAGAGAGATATCAATAATAAGATTGAAAAGGCTGGAGCAACATCATCCTTGATATTTTAAATAAGATTTATGTGTGCAACAAGTGAATTGGTTTAATATGCTACAGAGAATAAAGAGTTAAATAGATCTCAATGAAATGCATATACACAACGAATTAATTTCATATCTATAGGACATTTAAGAAAAACAAAAAACTTAGAACTGGGGAGTTCATTTGTATGTTGGAAGACAGAAAAATATTATATGGAAAATTGAAAAATGCTTGTAGTTATTATTATTTAAAAATAAAACTTGAAATCACCTTGGATCCAATGCATTTCCCAAGATCACTATGTTTTTTACCAGTAGAGCTAACCTCCACCATCCAACTGGATTTATTTTGCAGTCACTTGATCGATACCCTTGTTGAACATCAGAATCAGAGACGGTTGAGATAAGAAGCCAGATAGCCATATCTTCCTCCTGCATAGGAAGAAAGGCCCTGTTCTCGCCCTGCTTTGATATGTTTGTTGCAGCCATGATTTCATTGATATGCTCTTTCCCATTAGGGTATGTGGAAACAGAATCTTTCCCTTGCCATCTGAACAAACTGATTGGAAGGAATTGAATAACTGAAGTACTTGGAGCAGAAAATTTCGATACAAGGATCCGTTTGGAGATGTCCCTGAAAGAAATAAAAACCGCTGTGTCAAATACTAAACAAAACATTATGAATTAGTATATCTAAATTCATTTTTCCCTTCTTTTTTTTTTTTTTTTTGGTGGGGGGGGGGGGGGGTGGGGTTCATGCAGGGGAATGACCAATATTAGATTCCAAACTTCCTCAGAAACATTAATGAGGCTAATGGCAGGAAACAGCAGAACGGAACATTACAATTTTATAGAAAAAAGAAGAAGAAAGAAACAATATGAATAGTAAGCTGCACGATGTGGCCGTGGATAAATTTCCCAAAATGATTTTCACAGAAGACGAATAACTCCCGAGTCTTTATGTGTTTGACTGAAATTGCACTTCTGATAAAATTTGTAAAACTTCAGTTTCAGTGCTTTTTTCCATTCTAATGGAAATCAAAATAAATTCACCAGTCGAGAGAGTCAGCAAGGAAGGATATATCATCCTAAATTTGTCAAAACTGATTTGAAATGGGCACAATCAAACTCCACCTATTCTTAATAATATACTAGGATTAGGAATCCTGGTCCTTCTATAGTTCTCCCTTCATAACAAGATGTACCAATCCCTTTTGTGGTCTTTGCATGCTTTTGCTATTGCCTCAAATATCTCGAATATTTTGAAAATGAGCTTTTCATGCTTCACAAAACCTACATGATTTGATTTTTTTTAAAAGAAAATCTACAAAATGAGAAGTTCGAAGTGTAATTGGAATTCCAAGAAAATGACTTGGTAAATAGAGCTGACAATGGGATGTGAAATCTCAAAAACTATCAATACATGCAACTGAATAAAATGATGTTACTACCTAAAGTAAAACAGGGCTGCATAGAGCACTTCACAGTCACTGCTCTCCACTTATAACAAAAGTCCAGGCAGCAGAAATAATTTGATCCAGTAGGGAGCAAATCTTAAAAAATATATTTCTGGGGTAGGAACCTGGAAGCCAGTACCTCCATCTGCAATGTGGTTTAAACCACGGCAAATTTTAATAGCTTGATTTCTCATTTTAGTTCCAATCCATATCAAAACTTTGGCTACTTCTATCACTGTTCTGTGCATATTTCCCAGCATATGGCCAATACATGATGATTAAAGCTATGGATCTCATACCAATTTCAGCTAGGACCAAAATTGATGCTGACACTGAAATTGGTTAACTTTCAAATTGTTAATCGTTTTAAAAATGATGAAACAAATGGAAGCAACTTTTGTTGGAGGTTGTTTTTAAAACTTAGAAACCTTTCAATAAGAGGGTAATTTTGAGACTGGCATGTGGAAAGGAGAAAAAAAAATATGCAAGAGGAAACATTATATACAGTTAGAGATAGAAGAAAGAATATGCAAACAGAAGCACATACAGCGTGGAAAGGCAGCATACCATAAACTAAATTCCCCAAAACCATTATGACCAACAACAAAAGCAGCCCAATTTGGAACTCTTTTTAACTCCACGATACCAGGAGATGAGCAGTCAGAAGTTGGTAAATCACATTCATCTGTCTGTGCACTGCGAGCAGTGAATTTGAGAACAATCAAATTATATTCACAATGAGATTAAATAATAAAAATTGAAGGTACCGACAGACATGAGAAACAGCATTCAACTGGCTACATAATGGAAGTAGGCACCAGGAGATCTCAAAAAATTAGTGTTACTAACATGTGAGCTCCAATCAATTCATGCATGCCTAGAATTAAGTTTGTGAAGCATACAGGCATGATATAAAGAAAAATTACCTCCATGTTGAGTTCATGACCCACAGGTGCAATTTCCCACTATCTCCCACGCCAACAAGATAATTAGGCTCACAAACTAATATGCAGTAAACATTATGAACTTTTTTCATCTTCACCAAAACCGAAACATAACCAAGCTTTACTTGCACAATCTTTACTGCATTCTGCTCAAATGAGTCTGATGTACATGCTGAGCATGGACAATGCACCTTCCCTTCCCTGAGAACATGAACGGGAAATTAGGACTCCAATTGGTTCTCAAATTTCATGTGAAATTTGAATGTAAAATTATATTCCACAAAAGAAGCAACCTGCAGTAAGGAGCTTTTATACTGTTAAGTAGAACAAGGAACTGCCCATCTGGAGTGAATTGCAAGCCTGATCCATCTAATGCAATCTAGTAAATGGAAACACAATTTCACGTAAATAAAATAAGCGTGCAAGTACACAAATAAAAGGAATTAATGGAAAGCAACTTTTACATATAACAACTCACTTCTCTACCAAAGGCATCTCTTAAAACAGGCAACACTATTGGCATGTGACCAATAAATGAAGGGCATCCTACATTTTGTTCCTTGATTGATACCTTGTATAGGAAAAGGGTTCTGTTGCTGTCAGGCAAAATACCACATAAAACACAAATATAGATTGCATTCCCATTTGTTTTCAGTAATACAGAAGAAACTGGCATAGGGTGGGAATAGCATCCGACAAGCTCTACACCCTCTGGATCATCTTTATGTGCCTTAGTCATGTGAGGCTTTAAGTCTGAACCATCTTTATTTTCCACACTATCATCACAGAAACTAGTCCCCTGTTTCTGCAACGATGATACAGAATCATTGAATTCAACAAGGTTCTGCTGTCTGAGCAACTCTTTGTCAACACAGGCATGAGATTTTTCTACACATGAAACAGATGGATTGTCATTTGAAGCACAAACACATCTTTGATTTTGCGATATAACAGGAGCAATATTATGAAGTAAGCAATCAGGATTTAGAGTATCTTTCTATTTGTTCAAAATGTAGGTATGTCCAAGTCTGTCTTCAACAGCAAATATAACTCTTTTATTTGGGATGTGATTGAAAGAACTACTACTAACTGGCTGAATCTGTGACGCTAGCATAAATTTTGTGGTAAATATGTTCTCGTGGCACAACCCTCTGTGAAGTTTCTGCAAATTATACTTTCTGTAAGAGTATCATTGTATTTTCTTTTTGAAGTAAAGGACATATCAACTGTACCAACACTTTCCTTTTGTGGTATTTGAACAGAACTGACCATGCCTGTCAAATTATCATCACTTCTACCTATGGTTGTTGAAATACAACTGCTATCAGGCTTTTCACTGATATAAATGAAAATAGTACAATAACATGTTAAAATTTTGAAGTTGTTTAAATTGCAATATTGAACAAGCACGGATTTTGCATTTCAGGATTTAAAGCTTTCAAGTTATTTTTTTAAATTTGACAGATGAAAGTTTCTTTGTTGTAGTGTTGCAAAAGATAATCTAGAACTATGCATAGGTTTTCTCTTTGGAACTAGTGGGACACAATTTAATCTCTTGGCAGTTTGACTAACTCAACTTGGGGCATATTCTTTCCATTTGAAGTTGAATGTTGGCTTTATCTTTTAGATAATAAAAAATCCAGATTGGTTCAATAATAGTACCTTCAGCACAATCAGGTGTGCTTTTGAATTCATTTTCCTTGGAACAGATTTCAAGGAATGTAGAACTTTCATCTGTATTTGTGCACTTATCATTGTTGCCTTCAACAAAAATATTCTTGAGGGGAGACGTGGAACCTGAAGTAGATTCAGATACGAGAATATTACTCTTTTCACGCCTTTCAGTCGAAGCCATGTGTACTGCATCATAAGAGCAGGTTTTTTTGCTATTACTAATCTCAACATGAGAAATTGATGACCCCTTCGGGACATCAACACTGACAGGCAGTGCGAAAGTGTAAGTAAATGTGTGTTGACCCAAAGTAGCTAGACCAGCTTCAGAAACTTCAGGAAACAGAGGTAGCTGACTAGGTACATCATCCCCACAGTGATCATTCTCAAAACTGTCGGGAACAATAGGAGTAATTGGGAAAACTGAACTATGATCTGTACTTAAGATATGCATCTTTTCCTTTTCCAGCCTTTCCAAAGGAGACCTCTCAGTCAGATCTTCAACTGCAAGTTAAAAAATATCTATTTATGACCTGATCAAAAGTAAAAGACTCTTCTGAGACCCATCGTATCTTGGTTAAGTGTTAAGCAACTATGCTAGACAAAACTAAGAAAATTATTGCAACAACAACAACAACAAAAGGGGGTTACACATTACCACTTACCAGGAGATGCAACATCCACACGGTCAGTTCCATTGTGTTCCTTTTGAGTTTTCATGGTATGAAGTGAAATTCCAGAAGGGTTTACGGTAGCCTTTTTCTTCCTAGAGAATGTCCTGAGCAGCGGAAGTGCTTGTGGAAGCAGAACTGTCATCATTGACTTGTCTATATCATCACCAACTGAATCAAAATCACTCTTTTCAGAACTTGCATTTGATGTGCCAATGTCTTCTTCTGGATGCGACTCAGCTAGCGACCCTTCAGAAATTACTACCTGCACAGCAACCAACTCACCTTTCACATTGTAAGGACTACCATTGTGCAGGGCAGAATCAGGGATATTGTCTGCATAAGAATACTGACACTTATCAAAGGAGAAGGGGCAGATAATGAGCATCACCAGTGGTAAAAATTAACAAGTTTAACACAATTAACTTGTATTCATATTTTAGTTGAAAGTATATAATAAGTAATACCACAAAGAAGATCCAAAGTATCAGGTGCAAAAAGATCCACATCAGTGTCTTTTGGAACTGGTGCTTCTCCAACTGTGTTTTCTGTTGCCATTGATAAACTGAACCCTTGAATTTCAGCATCTTTTGACCTATTAAGCTGTGAGAAATTAAGTATCTTTCTACCACTAAACCAAATTCTTACTTGATAAGTACTATACACAAATTCATGCCGAAATCAGGAAGATGAAAAGGAGAGACTAATCTACTAAAAGTCCTGAGAAAAAACATATTGCTATTAGATATTATTAATTATAAGATCCTAAACTATGTAGGAAATCAGAAGGAAAAGTGTGTAGTAATTGCAAAACACTAACATGCCCAAAAGAAATAAACCTGCATGCAAAAATAAAAGGAAGAATGTGTATATATATATATATATATTCGACTGAGGTTCTTACGGGTTCATCATATGTGTATAAGTTGCTCGCTATTCCTGTGACTATACAGTTTTCTGAATTAACAAGCTTGTTTTCTTCTTGGGGAAGAACTTTCTCCTTGAGATGATCAGAATTTTGAAAAGATTCGGAAGACAAACCATCTTTGGATGAAGAGGGAACATTATCTCCCTCAGCTACAGTTTCCAATTTCAATGATGCTGGGAAAGCTCCAAGATTATTGCAAATGCCGTGTTCTTCATCTGAGGCAGAGCTAGTCGTGGAATTGCCACTGTTATGATTTCCTAGAGTCTCTTGTCTGGAATTTGAGACCTCAGCACTGTGTGTTACTTGTGGTCGGAGTCTTTTGTGGACAGCTCCATTAACTAAATTCAAATTTGTGGTTTTTTCCTTTCTACTTCTCTTCCCGATAATCGATGTTTTTCCCAAGTATGGCAGCAGATCAGAGTTACTTGAATTTGTACATTGAGTGTGATGATTTGTTCCAGAAGCTCCATTGTGAAAGCTGGATGGCAACAAACTCTGTTCTGCAGTCCCATCGACATTTGCAACCAATTCCCGAAGTAACCTCTGAACAAACGGGTTTCTAAATCCAAAAAACTGCATATCAAATGCAAAGGGAAGGAATTACATTTAGCACAATATGCTAAATACAAGTTACATAAAGTTTGCAACAGATGATAGAGAAAAGGACAGAAAATTACAGGTTAATCATCATGTGCTTGTTAAAGACAAAAAATTTAAAAACTATCCACCATAAAACTAAATTAATTAAAGAACCACAAAGTTAAATGACCAACCACGGCCCAAGAAATTATCACAAGCAGTATCAAAAACAGAGACCTAAACTATTATTGAGGTTGCAAATATGATGGGCTGCTCGTAGACAAACCTCTGAAATATTGTACAATATGGTCACATTCCCATTAATTCCATTGAGCCTTCTGTTAATGTGCTTGAGCAGTTGTTTGTCGATTGCCTCATCAATCTTCTATATATTCTAATTGATGCTTAGATGACTATTAAAGGTATAGAGCTAAAAAAAACTTAAAGACTACAAAAACCATAACACAGATGTTTACAATAATAAATAAAAGTTTGGACAAATTCTTGTGGTACCTAAGTGCATATTAGGTTACACAAGTTCAAGCTCCAGATTTATTTTAAATTACTCTTTTGTTCAGTTATGAATGTTTATGTGCAGAACAGGAAGATAAATAACACAATATCCTTCAAAATGAAGGCAAAAGGTACAATCACATTCTAATTGAATTATTAAGCACCATTAGGTAGAGCCCATTAATGGAAGTTTTGATATATGCATTATGGCACGAGGAATACACCTCGTTAGGCAAGCAGCTACAGTTTTACCTACCTCCACGCCATCTATCTTACACGAAAATCTCTTTCCGCGCCACAACTTTATACGAGGGTAACCTTTCTTTTGATGGTTCTCCCATGCAATATCTGGAGTTTGCCCAGAACATGACTGTCCATCAGTAGAAGTGATCTGCGGAGAGGGGAGGTACAAGTTTATATTTAAACTAAAAGCTAGTGAGGCTCACAGATCAAAAGCCATTAAGCAAAACTACACACCACAAATAAAGGTCCTTTAAGAGCTTCATGAATTTCCATCTTATATGTAATTCCATTATGAGTTCGCACAGCTTGGTATCCAACCGGATAAGGGTAGCGATCCTTGCCCTGCATCGGAATACAAGTAAAGCCAATTAATAATGTAACACAATATGAAATATAGGAGACACAGCCTTGTTCTCTGTACACAAAGCACTCAAACAAAAGCTTCAGCAACCACATGTTAGCATACCAAATGAAGAAACTGCTCTAACATATTCAATATCCATATTTAAAATTAAATGGGAGCACTGAGATCAGTGACATGAATGATCAAATGAAGTAATTCATTGTTGAAGGACAAAGTGAAATCCAAACATTCTGGAAATGCCTCATATTTTGAAACTAGGAAAACAAATATAATACTTATGTGGTTGATGTTCTTCCTTTTAATAAAGAGGATGGAAGCTGTAATACCGAACCCACTACATCTTTTGCAAATTCTAGTTCATCTTCATCTATTTCCAAATCAAATTGGAATTTACATAAATCACCTTTATTAAAAGATTTAGGCAGTATCAAGCCTAAAGGACTTGCAAGAGATTATAAGAAAAAACAAAAAGGAATAAGGCAATAATTTTCTCCATAGATAAGAACCCTGAAACTACAACTAGCAGAGATCTCATTCAAGGAAATCCTTTTGAGTTTTGCTTTATCCTTTTTTTTATCTTTATGCTGCACACAATCTTGAAAAATAGATGCTCAGAAAATTTACTATTTTCTCATGAACGATCTCTCAGTTGGCAATTTTTTTTCCCAGCATTCCCATGCCATTTTCCCACTTTAGACAGACTAGCCAAGATAATAAGAAAGAAAGTCAACAGCCCAGCATTCAAAAGCTGCAGCTTTTGTATAAATTTTTAATTAGAGTTTTAATCCTTCCACACGGTAGGATTCAATTATTTTTCCACAATTTTAGCTCATTTGTCTTTTTTTTTCCCAGCACCTATTATGCGTGCTGATGCCCCACTTTCTACTCAAGCTTTATACCGATCCATTCATAATGCATCGAAGTAATGATGTCCGTTAATCAGTCTATATCACCTCATTGAACTTTTCTTCTACTAGATTTTTAAAGTAATGTCTAATCAATCTGTGTCTTTCTAACTACTAAGTGTAGGATTAAGTTCTATTAATCTTTTTTTCTTTTTCAGCTTCCCAGTAATCAACTGTCAGTATACTTTATGAGTTGGTTATTACTTGTTAATAAGCTTGTTCACCAATCTGACAATCAACTAATTCAAACTGTTCATTAAATCAGCACTCCAATTTGCTATCACAATCTTTGAACTTACTCGAAAAATTGTCAAATCCACTAAGCCCCTAACAGTGCACATAACTCGTATACAAGCAAATATTTATTTATTCAACTCAATTTTAAAAAATAATATAAAAAAATTCCCCACGTATTTTTTTTATTCCATTCAATAATAAATCTTTGATCTTAAATCTTTTTATCTTCTATAGTTTCACTAATTACGTTCTGTTTGAATGAACATAACTTTATAAGAAAAGACCTAGATTCCGATAAATAGCTTGCAACAATTTAGTAGATTATCATTGATTCACCAAAACAACTTCAACTAAACAAAACATTGATTAGAGCCATAGCAATTTAACGATAGAAATCAATCGGCAGTTATATAACTCATATATAGATATGCATATATATGCTTATACGGGGAAGAGAGAGTGTAATGAATCGAACCCGAGAGGAGCTCCAGTACTTCTTCTCCCAGGCGCCACTGTACAGAGTTCCGATCGAAACGATTTCGAGACCGTCCGATTTTTCGTCGTCAGGTTTCGCCATTGAAGCGAGAGAGACCACTCCAGTACTGTATTTTAACAAAATGAAGAGAGAGAGAGGGCTTTATATGGCGGGAATTTAAATCACGATTTGTGGGGGATTTTGGGTTTTTCATTTTTTTTTCCCTCCACGAACAAATGGAGAAGTGATTGAGTTACACGGAGTGAAAATCGCTTTTGGAGTCTGATTGCTGATTGGTGAGGAATACTCGAATTATTGGCTTTGACTTCTATTTTTCCTTAAAACATGTGGATCTCAGTTGTCCGTGATCCTGAAGAGTCACAATCACGTAACTATAAAATGATGGATTGATAAAAACAAACAAAAAAAAGGGCAAAAAAGCATTAAAAAAAAACCCCCTAACTATTCAAAATCAGCATTTTACACCCTGAATTACAAAATCGAACAAATCAGTAACATAACTATCAGAAATGTGCATTTTGACCCCTGGCAGTCCTTTCGGGCTCATTTCCGGCAACAGATGGAGCGCTTGAGTTTACTTTCTGATATAATTCCATAATTGCCCTTGCAATATGACCGCCTTGTCTATAAATTGAGTCCAAAATTCCTTCTTTAACTTTATATATATATACACATATATATGTATTTCTGTACTTTATAATATATATTATCATATATATTTTTTACGAATATATGTATATATATGCTTATTGTTTAATATAAAATTACATTTTTTCTTAAAGTTATATAGTTGCAGGGATCTAAAACAGCGTCTTGAGCGTCCTTGTGTAAACTCAAGCTTTGGGGTAAATTTGATCTGATCAGCCCAGAGTATCAGGCGATCCATTGAAGAAGACCCAATAGTTCCAAGAGCTTCATCGACAAAGATATATGATGAGAGATTCCCAAATCCTAAGAAGATAATGTTGGAATTTTTTTTTTATATATATATAAATAATAAAAATTATTTTATGGTCATATACACTACGTTTTCTAAAGTAAGATTGTAATGTAATTATTGATACTTGATGGATTGGGTTGTACTTTTCAATTTGGTGGTCTAATTGGGAGTATGGTTTTTATACATTTGGATTGTGGTTTTCCAACTTATTTGGTGTAATTTAATTCTAACCATTAATATCTAAGTTTTCATGATAGGAAAGGAGACTTGGGTATGCTTGCTTGTAGAGAAGTCGTCCCCCCCCTGTTATTATTATATATAAGGGTTTTAAAACCCTTATTCAGACCTATCGTATCGACAATTCTCATAAGAGGGTAAAATACTCTATTTTTCAGATCTCTCAAAAGGCACTAAGGAATTCACAAAAGGTACCTAAAGTTTAATCTTTTAATCAGGTATGATTTCAAAAACCTCTCTTTAATTCATGATTAATTTTGATTTCTACATGTTTTTATTATTTAAACCCAACAATTGGTATCAGAGCCAAGCTATAGTTTGTAGAAATCAAAATAGTAAAGATTGATTTATTATATAGCATACTTAAATCGGTGTATTTGAAATCGCACTGATTACCTTTGTGTCCTCGATTTTCGTGGGTGATTAATCATCTAAAAAAATTGTGTGTTTATAGTAGCATAAACATATGTAATTGATTCATATTTTTGTGGGTGAGTAATTGATTATTCTGTTTGAAAAATATTTTATACAACAAATTCATTGCACGCCAAACGAGATTTTTTTTTAGCATAAATTTGTTATGCAATTAATCAGTTTGTCTTTTAATCAGTAGTGCATGCACGCCGAATGAGATTTTTTTAGCATGAATTTGTCATGCAATTAATCAGTTTGTCTTCTAATCAGTTGCGCATGCACACCGAACAAGGTTTTTTTTTTAAGAATGAATTTGTTTTACAATTAATCAGTTTGTTTCCTTTATAAGTTGTGCACACCGAACGAGGAACAAAACAAAATCAATGAATTTAATTGCGAAACACATACTATATATAAAATATAGAAAGACATATATGTTTTTAAATAAATAAATTTAAAAAAAAAAAAAAAATCAGGTCCGTCATTGGGGTTTATGAGGACCAGTAAAGTGACCGTTTTAAAAATAATAGTCAAAATGAGTGATACATACTAAAAAGAGACACGCTCATGGAGGTTATTATTTTTTAAAAATTTTGAGGCATTGGTCTTATTGATGTCTCACAGTGCACTTACCTACATGAGGGCATTTGTTCTGTCAAAAGGTGATCAATGTCTTAGTGTGGGATAAGTTAGTAGAATATTTGAGAATGCTTGGATTATAACTAAATAATCCTCTTGCCAAAAGGTAGTGGAAGTATTTAGCAACAATTCAAGTATAATCAAATAGGTCTATGTGCGATTTGATCGCAAGTTTGGGGGTAAAATAAAAATCTAAAATTTTGCCAAAAGGTGATTTTAGATGGCATTCTATCTGTTTCTGCAGGGTGGACGTTTTTGCATATAATAAAACATCTTGAGAAATTCAGCTTAAAAACCCAAGCACGAATCAAAGTAATAATCCCTAAAACTGTGACATATTATTTTATATGTTGTTCATTTTTTTTTTTTTTTGTTATTTGGTATAACATGTATTACAGTTATGGACGCTTTCGCTATTCAAAGATAGCTCACAGGGATTGAACCATTGAATGGTTTGAACTATACTACTTGGAGGACAAGTGTTGATATTATGTTGGGTTTCTTGGACTATGAGTTCGTACTTTATGAGGAGAAACCCACTGTAATCACTGAAGAGTCTTCTGAAACAGTAAAGTTGTTGCATGTTAAGTGGACTAAGGCTAATACCATGGCCATTAGGTTGATCCGTGCTTCTATTGGTGAGACTATTCGTGGCGGTATTCCTGTATTTGATACTGCCAAGGAGCTTCTTGATTTAATTAAGAAGTAGTTCATGGGTACCAAGAGTAACTTCAGTATTATTATTTGACACAACTTATGTCAACCAGTTATAATGGCAGTGATTCAGTGAGGGAGTGTATCTATAAGATATGCAAGCTGGTTAATGGTCTCAGGGAGAAGGGAATCAAATTTGATGATGAGTTATTGGTCCACATGGTGATCTATTCTCTTCCTAGATCTTTTGATGCTTTCAGGGTAAATTATAATTCACAAGAGACAAAATGGGATATTAATCAGCTATTGGCACTTTGTGTGACTGAGGAAGAGTAGCTCAAGGGTGCTAAATTTGAGTCAGCTCATCTTGCCATAAGTAATAGAAGCAGGAATAACTTCAAGTGGAAAGGCGACAAGAAAGGGAATCAGGCAATTAAAAAAAATGGAAAGTAGGACAACAAAGGAAAAGGCATTGATTATGCAAATACGAATGATGAATGTTGGTTCTGTAAGAAGAAATGACATAAAAAAAAGACTGCTACCGCTACAAACATTGGTTAAAGAAAAACAAAGCAGGTATGGGAGTTGCTATAGTAATTGTAATGTTTATCAATATATATATATATATATATATATATATATATATATATATATAATTATTGAACATTACTTTTTCCACTGTGGGACCCACCCGTGATATAAGGGTCATTACAGACCCATTTAGTTTTCAATCAGCTTTCTCTCTCGGCCAGTTTTTTTCTCTCTCTCGCTGCCTCTGTATTTTCTTTTTCTTTTTTTCTTTTGCAACTTCAATCCTTAATTTCTTCCTCATTTTTTAGAATTTTTGGGTGCCGTTTGCGACAAAATGAAGAGCACGGCGAGATCTTCAAGTGAGTGTTTTGGTGCATCCTAGGATTTCGAAATTAGGGCACAAAATTTGGGGTTTTCTCCTCCTTTGAGGTAGTGGTGTTTAATCCACAATCTCTTAGATTTTGATGAATTATTTTTCATAATTTGTGTTCTAATTTGTGTTATTTTTCATATTTGTTATGTGTTGTATATGAGATGTGTATATATACATGTTAGTTGTTATGTGATAAAGAACCATGTTAAAGTGATGTTAAATTTCATGCCTATTGTGCTTTAAAATGTTGAATTTTATGATTTTGAAGCATGATGTAAATTTCTATAATATTCCTATGAGGCATGTATATTGTAAATATTTGACTTGTAAGAAATAAAAAATTTCTTTATTGGCACGTCATTGAAATGCATAAGACATATATGCATTCATTGGGAAAGAATGAAAAAAATTGATTTGAAAGAAATGAACTGAATTTTGGGAAAGAATTTTGAAAAGGATTTTTGTGAAAAACCCGGCCGCCTAAGAGTTGCCTAGGGACCGCGGCGTTAGTGAGGCCTAGAGGGGACTGGGGAGATCGCCCTAGTGTGGTTGAGTTACCTGGGCCCCAAATGACGCCATGGAGTTACCATGAGTCAGGGACAGTGGCCAATCCTTCTCTCATGCCGCCATGGAGTTGTCATGGGACGGGTTCACTAATGGTTTAGAAATGATAATGGAAATGGTTTTAAAGAATGGGGAGTGACATTACATAGCATGGCATCTCATTGCATGACATATTCATTTGTGGTATTGAATTAATGATGTAGTATTGTGGTTATTTATATATATTTTTTTTGGGGCATGGTATGATTCCAATTTCCTTATTCCTATTCATTGTGTGAATTCACGAGGTCTAAAGAGGTGTGCCTTAGGCACTTCCTACTGAGTTTATGTTCACCCCTTATATTTAACAATTTTCAGGAAATGGGAAAGAAGTGGCGGATGACGTACCACCACAGGCCTAATTTGGATCAGAAGATCATTTTGCTATTTTTGTATCTAAGTCCCATATTTTTGTAAAACCTTAGTTTGCTATATTTAGTATAGAGATTTATGGACTCTTGCTATTATAGTTATATTCATGGACTATAATTTTATTATAAGTTGTCTAAACGTTGTAAGATATGAATGTTTGAACTTAATTATATTTTTGGGACTGTAATTATGATATTTGGATTAAATAGCATGTAGTTGTTCAACCATAAACTAAACTATGTTGAGATATAATGAATGGATGAAAGGGATGTTGAAATGTAATATTTGTATTGCGTGTTAGGATAGGTTGGATAAGTCTTGAAGGCCCAAGAGAGGCTATTGCATTTTTTGCGTTTAAGCAAGTGGTTGTAGGATCCCTTTTTAGCAAAGGTCATGCCGAATTTTCTTTTTTAAATGGTATCGGTTTAGGGTCGTTATAGTAATATTTGAATCCAACTTAGTAAATGTGCTTAATCATACATGGTGGATTGATATAGGTGCATCTATTCATATATCTTGTTCATCACAGGGACTTCGAAGCCAGAGAAAACAGGGCTGAGGAGAAATTAGTGTTGGGTTGTGATACCCCTCGGATTCGAGACACGGGTTGATCAGGATCAGGCTCAAACCTGAGGGAAATATCAAACAATTAAAGTATTTTAAAGCAAACACAGAATATTAAATGAAATAAAAAATAGAATACAGTTAAAATAAAAATCCAATAACAAATCCTCCAAACGATAATGATTAAAGTGAATCCAAATCTCCAAACTCTCCACGAGTACAACTCCGGAATCCATCTGGTGGACCCTAAACAAAATCCCAACTGAACTGAAATAACTGAAAATAAATAAAACTAAAACATCGAGAGAAGTTCTACGTAAGCAGATGAAAGAGACTGTCCTCGACAAGCACGATCAAGCTTTAAGGTTGGAACCGTCATGTACCTAAAAAGAATAAAAGAGTAGGTTAGGCCCACAAACAAGTTCTAATCTAACTGCAATCTATACAGTGACCCGATACGCAGATACATCCTAGATACCTCACAATAGCTATCTAATCCATAAGTATATATATATCCACACTAAGGGACATTTACTGGACTACAGTGGGGGTCTCAACCTGAATAGAAGGCAACATGCGAAAATGCATCCAAAGGTGGGCATGAGTACTTAGATCTAACAGGGTACACTTGAACCTACCATAGCCAGCTACGCATCCACTGCATATACGCACCCTAACCAACGAGCTTGAGACTCAAGCTCATCTCGTGGTACCACAACCATATATCTAAAGTCCGTTTAAATCCAGAGTATGTCATTCAATTATTCATTGAGATGACATACAAAACACAGTCCGATTAGTCACTTAACTTATCCAGTTGATATGACTTAACTACAACCAACTAATCCAGGAAGTCTGTAACGACCCAAAATTAGGGGCACAAACAAAACATGATTCGGAAACCGTCCGAATAAAATTATCCAAAATCATCCAATATAAAAATCCATAGTCTAGTCATAGTCTTAAATTTACTTAAATAACCTCTAACACACTTCCACTACGCTACTCCAATAATCATCAACTAAACACATCACATTCATCTACAAAACAAAATCTGCGCAAATACTACTTAAAAATTCATAGAAAATTCGTTTTAAATCGAAACGGAGCAAACGAAAATGATTTGAAAACTAGATTCAAAGTGAAACACAGCTGAGTAACTCACAGAGGCTAAAGATTTTCCAATTAAATCAGATTTGAGAAGAAAATCAGCAGTACTTAGTGTGGAGAAAACTTGGGCAGCAGATACTTCAGAATTTTTAGAAAATTCGTTTGACCTCCGAAATTGGCAAAGTAAATTTATTTTGACAGTAGACTTATGAAAGAATAAATATGGAAGTTTTGATAAAGATCCGATGTCAAGAAGTTGGTGAAATAATTTATTTAAAATCTGATTTCCAGCAGATGTAAAATCTGGACAGCAGGTAATCTCGAATTTTTATAAAAATATCTGCAAATGTAAAAATTATGAAATTTTATGGAGAAGTACTAGATGCATGAAGAAAGTTGTGGTAAAAATTTGAAAACATTTAGAGTAATACAACTCCTTGGAGAAATTATTTAACTTCTACAAAAATACAAAATCCTTGTTTTCTTACTTAAGCTCCAAATACAAATTCTATCACAAAATAGGTAAAACCAGTCTCTAAGTGAACATAGAATGGTTTAAATACAACATAGGCACTTAAACTCACAATACATCCAATTCCTCAAATATAAATTCATACAAACTTTTCCTCAAACACTTTATGTACAAAATAAAGATAGTCTCCATCTATATGAATTTCAGCAACTCCAATTCTCCAATTTGATTATGCCACCTAAAAAATAATAGAGTGAGACAAAATTCCCAGTACGAATAACTCTAATAGGCGTTCCCACCGGATTTCATACATAAGAGAGCATGCTTTACAAAATTAGAAAAAAATAAATATGAAAATTCAACTGCACCAGAGCATGTTTCCAAGAAGAAGGAGCAAGAAGATTAAAACAATCGTGACAAAAGATGACAATTTGGAACAATGATATAATATTACATTTCAACAGGGAGCTAAAATTTCAGCAATTACCAACAAGGAAAACAAGTTTTACCAGAGAGCAAAAATCATATATAACACTTAAGAAGACAAAGCCAATGTAAAACATGAAGATTTACACACAAAATCACATGTAGTAACCCAAATTAGAGAAACCCTACCTCAATTAGAAGAAGAAAAAAAAAAAAAAAAAGAAGCCAATTCAGCCCACCAATTCGAAAATCCAAGAGTGAGTAAACCAAGATCTGCTCTGATCAAAGTTGAAACTCAAAAGAAGGTTAATGAAATCAAGCTTTAAAGTGATGAGATCTAGTGAGAGAAAGTGATTTTCATGTAAAAAGAGAGAGAGAAAGTTGCATGAAGAATGAGAAATGGAGGGCTGATAATGACTATAAAGTCATTTCCAATCACTTACCAAAATGGTGGGTCCCACTAGTTAGAAAAAAAATCTTCCTTTACACAAGTATACTTATATATACACGTATTAAACATCATATAACCACATAAACACATGTACCCACATAAAATGCACTAGATAAGCGTGCATGAAATGCGATGATCTCAAAAAAAAAATCCTTGTACTCAACAATTTTGGCAACGGGTCCCACCTGGGACTTCTCAGCCCCAAAAACGAAAAAGTATCAAAATGACAATCAATGCATTTTCAAGAGTCATGAACTCAAGGAAATGCCCCAACCAATTCTCGAACCCATCCGGAACACCTCACAGTGTTTGGCACACAAAACGAGATGGGACTAAAATAATCCATAAAATGGTAAATAAGAAAAATCAGAAACGCTACAAAGTCATTCAACTTAGTCAGTTGATCTGACTTAAACACAAATAGGATTCAATAT